AGAAAACTCTACGTCCAGATGAACAGAATCAACGTTCGGAGATAGCCTTTTGTTGTTTTCTGATTTATCTGAGATGACTGATATGACGCTGCTGTTTATTTTCTCAAAAACGACCTCAAAAAGCACCACCTCTGAAGCAGTCATAGTGCAGTTATCAGGAGAAAGTCAGTGCAGGAACAGGCACCAGTATCTTCTCACAAACAAAGATTTCAGTGATTATAAAGCTAATCATCACCACCTCCCATTTCTGTTTTTTCTGTTCAAACAGCTCAACCTCTGGTCTGGAGGACTTGGACGTTCTGTCACTGAATTAAAATGTGATGATGTAAGTTCTAATATTTTGCTGGACCCCTTTTAACTTTAATGATGCTGCACATTTACAAGGATCTTGTACTGATGATGTTAAGTGTTAAGGTGGGGCTCTATTGATGGAAAAACCTGTTCATTCATATATTCATGAATTTCAGCATCTTCATGTTCATGTTTTTGTTTTTTGTTTTTTCTTTTCAGTGGATGCAGGAACCACCTCTGAAAAAGCTAAAGGCTGTAACGTCTCAGCCTGCTGCTCTGTGTGTGGCTGTGAATGGAGACTATGTTGCTGTGGGATACCACGCTGATGGCATCAAACTTTTCAGCCTCAGATCAGGTGTGTTGTGAGCTACGAATGTTTCAAAAATGTTTACCAGATGGAATCACTACAAGAAAGTGTGTGTGTGTGTGTGTGTGTATGAAGTGGGGCCAGTGGCTCAAAAAAGACATCTCTGGCATTAAAATTCAAAGCATCTCCTCTAGGTTTTTTCCTTTCTTGCTCTTTTTAAGTGTGTGCACTATAAAAGAAACAAACTGTACCAAAATTAATTTTTCAGGTGAGAAGATTTGGGCCTCCGTGGACCTGGACGTGTCTGTACCGTGCATGCTGTGGGTCATTTTAGAAGCAGAGCAGACCGACACCGATCTGCTGGTGTCTGGAGGAAGTGACAAATTTCTGCGGGTGTGGAAGAGAAAACAAGAAGAGGAGGGAATGACGGAAGTCCTGGAAATGGTGGGAGTGTTTGGTGTGCAATCGGGCACCATCCAGGCACTCGCACAAAACTCCACGTACCTGGCGACAGCTTCAGGTAGGTGTGATTGGTGGTAGTGATTATGCTTTCTTCTCAGGGTATTATCAAAAGTTCCTCAAGTTCCAGTCAGTTTGACTTATGTCTAAAAATGTTTTACAATGTTGCTCTTTGAATTAGATGACTTCACCATTGGGCTGTGGTTATTGTCTGATCTGACCTGTGACCCTCCGATCCAGCCAAATTCAATACTGAGGGGCCACAGTGGCGGAGTCACATGTCTGGCTTTCAGTCCAGATGGTGCACAGCTGCTGTCTGGTGGAAAAGATCAGGTACCTGTAACTCTTCCCCCCCTTATGAACCTTATGAGAGTACCTCAATAAAAGGTTACAACTGTGAAATCAGTATGAGAGAGGGAGAACGTTGTCTCATTTGAGAGGGTGAAATCATGAATTCTGGGTTATTCTTACTTAAAAAAATAAAATAATAATAATATTAATAATGATATCATGTAGTTGCAGTGCTTCATAGATTCAGATTAGGGATACTGCCTACTGAACATGTAAGAGTTTTTGGTACACTTAAATTACCTTATAAGGTAACTAAAACTCCATCCATCCATCCATCCATCTTCTTCCGCTTTATCCAGGGCCGGGGATAAAGAGCTGGTCCAGTGTTTCGCGACCAGGACAAAAACTGCATTGTTCCTCCTGTATCTGAGGTTCGACTAGTGGACAAACTCTCCTTTCCAGCACCCTGGCATAGACTTTCCCAGGGAGGCTGAGGAG